TCACTGATAAATTTATAGGAAAAAAATTTATTAATTATAAATTTTTAATTTAAAAACTTATTGACATAACCAAGATGATTTACAATTTGTATGTTTTATATTAGAAAAAATTACCAAAACCTGTAAATCACTCAATTATGACAAAGTTCAATTAGAAATATAATGTATTGAATATAAAAATATTGTTATAGAAATAAATTATTATAAATTTTTTATTTTAAAATTAACTCTAGTGGTTATGTGTGGAAAGTCATTTGTTTGAATTTCTCGAAATAAAAAAATATGGATTTATCAGGTTTTGAAAACTTGCTCCTCATTTATTGTCAAGGGTTGCCATAAAAATTTTATTTTGTTTTTCGCTGTTTTCCAATTAAAATTTAAATTTTTTCCCTGACCCTATATTGAAAATATTTCAAGAGGTTTTCAATTATAAAAAATTAAGACAAACAATTAATAATAATTATACTTGTAATAAGTGTAATAATAAAGTACCTGACTTTTCCCTGATTTTCCTAACCCCGTGGCAACTCTATAATTGTATAGTCAACTATATAACTATTAATTTTAATAAAAAAAATATTAAATTGAAAAGTTTGTTTGTTAAAAATACAAATTTTTTCAATTAATTAAAAGTAATATATTAAACTAAAGAAAAATAAATTTATCTGATTCAAATAATCAGTTACTTGACTATTATTAAATAAATACTTATTTGAATCAATTAAATTGTTTTAAAAGAATTAAAAATACAAAAATCTTACTTTAATATAATATAAAATCTAAAATTTAAATACGCAATTATAAAAGAAATTATTTTACTGATATAAGATGTTTATGTTCGAAAATTATTTCCTGAAGAAATAGACTTGTCTGACTAAACAGGCATTATTTCTACTGAATACCCACTGAATTGTCCGACGAAACAAGGAAATTTCTACTTTCATTCATTACACGACAATTCAAATAATTGGGAATAAATAAAATTATACTATTTTCATAAAGACAGAAATTTTTTTTTTAGATATAGTTAAAATAAGAAGCAAAGCTATTATTTAAATTTTTAAATTATTTTATATTTAATAAACGTTCTTAATATGACTATATGAATTATATTTTAAAACATATTTTTCTATTATAATTTATTTTTTCTTCAAATTAGATTAATATTACGTTTCAACATTTCTTTTAAATTTTATTCCGAAAAGTATCATATATTTTTTCTACACACAGAAGAGGATTTTTTTTTTGTTAATTAGAAGGGAAATTGAAATATTAAAAGATTACTTTTTTTCACTTTTTCTTTATAAATGAAATTTCTTTTTTTAGATACCATAAAAATATTTCTCTTTACATTTGGGATTAATTCTCTTTCAGAAAGCTGCGACATAACGTTTAAAATGTAACTTCAAACCGTAATTGTTTTTACATACATATATATTCATTTTACTTTTTCATATTTATCCGTCATTTTCGCCTTGGTCACCACATTTAATTCAGAAATGAAAAACTCACAAAGTATATAGTTGACTATTCATAATTTTTTATTTTATTTTTTTTTAGATACCATAAAAATATTTCTCTTTGCACTTGGCATTAATTCTTTTCCAGGAAACTGCGACATAACGTTTAAAAAGGAACTTTTTCAAATTTATCTATCTCGTCTTTGTCACCATATTCAATTCAGAAATAAAAAATTACTAAGAAAATAGTTGGCTATTCATAATTCTCTATTTGCTTTTTCTTTAAAACCGCTTTTTATATAATAATAATAATAATAATAATAATAATAATAATAATAATAATAATAATAATATAAGTAATATTAACTAACATTAACAATAAAATAATAATAATTAGATAATAAAATATAAATAATAAAACAAATAAAAATATAATTATAGAACGTAATTTTTTTCTCTATTGATTGAATCACGTGAAATCACGAAAATTAAACGAAATAAAAAATAAAATGAATATGAAATTTTTAATATAATTTTTTTATATACCTATAAATTCATATATTATTCATTAGAAATTAAAATGAATAAAAGCTTATTAAATAAAAACGAAAAGAAAATTAATAGTTCTAAATTATTAAAACCGTTCTATATATCTTATTTTATAATTATTATACCAAAAACGGTTTTCACAAAAAGTAAGAAGAAATTAAATAAATATAAACAAATTATTGTGATTAATAAATTGTTCCTAGTCAATTAAAAAATAAAAATTATTGAAGAGCATTCGAAAGTAATTAAAGAGAACAAAGGCTTAGTGGATCGTTATATATATATATATATATATGTATGTATATAGTGAAATACTCATAAGTGAAGGATCACTCAATCCGGATCGTTCAGAAACAGGTCTTGATGAAACACCCAGTAGATCAGGCAGGCGACGGACAGCGCGTTTTGCGGTGACAGAGCGTGTCTGATGGAGGGTTGTCACGGTACGGGAGCACCCCTCAGACTTTGATATTAAAGCCCTTCTAATATAAGAGCAAAAGCTCTGTTCTGCAACCGCCCCCTCCTCCACCCCTTCCACTATTTTTTTCTTCTCGATATTCTTTACTCCTTATTATACTTTATATTAAAGGTACCTCCTAATGTCCACACTTTTTTCTACTTTATGTGAAAAAGCAATTTTTATTGTTTTAAGAATATTATATTTTAAACATTCTATGTTCATTATTAGCTTCTTTAATTCTGCGCGGTTCAGAATTAAGATTCATTTCAACCAGAGGGTCATTTTTATTTTACAATTATCTACACAGAAAAAAAAATTCTCAAAATGAGAAAAATATTCTGTACCTGAATTTTATTAATTATATATTTTATTTTAAAAATAATCATATTTTTCTATAGAGAGAATTTTTAGTACTTAATTACTTTTCAATTTTCTTTTTAAATATTAAATTCTTCTTTTATACAAAAAATTTTTTATTTAATTCAAATACTTGCTATCAAATAAATATTTACTTGAACCAAATAATTTTATTCAATTAACTTTTTTATTTATGTAAATTGTATTTGAACCAATAATTTCTGTTTTTCGAAACAAATATCGCTTAATTTAATCGAATAATAATTATTGGATGTAAATAAATATTTTTTTGATAATAGACAAGTAACCGATTATATTTGAATCAAATATATTTTTTTTCAGTGTAAGTACAATTTAAAATTATGCCTCTACAATTGGGATTATTCGTCTTTAAGAAATTTTTATCTACATTCAATGACATTTATAACTCTACAAGAAAAAAATCTTCACCTGGAACAGTGATATGTTTCACTAAAACAGCGAAAGTTTTCGCTATTCTAGCGAAACATATCGCTGTTCCAAATAATTTTTTTTTCATGTAGATTTATAGATGTCATTGAAATTAAGTCTACCTAGAAAAACCCCAGATTTTTAAAAATTCATAACTCGAAAATTTGGGCACTTATAAAAAAAAATACGTATACCTTTTTTTCCGCAAACGAAAAAAAAAATTTATTCTAGTTTAAAATGTCATATGTAGATAAATTTCATGTGGAATCGCCCATATGTAAGTAATAAGTATCGTAATTTTTTTTAGTAAGTTAGTTACTATACCAACTTGTTATATTATTACTAACCCAACACTGAATAAAATGCACACTACACTCTTATCTTGAAAATATAGAATAATGTATTAGTGTATGTGTGCGCCCCTTGTCTCGGCTTCCGTATCCATCTAATACGCACCATTGACCACGAATGCACGTCCGATAGGACCGCCCATGGTCCTCCTCAAAAATCAAGTTATCTCGATTCCTTCATGCCCATCGCACCGCGTTTTAACCCACTACGAGAATTGTTTATGGCCCTAGTAAAACCTCGATGAAAAATTTCCTCGCTTGGACCATTTATATAATATGGTACATATAAAGAATTATTCACTTCAATGTTATAATTTAAATAATTTTTACTTTGAAAAAAAAAATTAAATTAAGTTTTTTAAATTTCAATTGCCGCGTTACTAAAACATATAACATTTACTGTATAATGAAAACTGAGATGATAATATTGATCTTTTTTAATCTAATAGGGAGAAAAATAACTTCTTTTAAACCAAGGGAGTAAAATGTCTCTTTTTAACCCTAGAAATAATAAATATGCTTTCAACCCTAGAGAATAAAATTTGTTAACACTTAGCATGTGATTTTTAAGTCATACACTCAAAAAAATTCATGGTAAATTTGACTAAATTTTAACTATTTCTCCTAGTTCCAGGAGGCGCCTATGAACAAACAGTAGTTGAAACAACTATGTGAAAATTGTCAGATTAACTGTAAAGTTTAGTAAAAATTACCCAAATAAAGAAGTTATTTCAATGATTTTTTGTCAGTCAAATTAACTGTTTCATTAGTTTGCAGTAACTAATTTTCATGGTTCCAGGAGGCGCCTATTAACAAAAAGTAGTTGAGACAGCTATGTAAAAACGGTTAAATCAACTGTAAAATTTAGTAAAAAAAAAAAACTATTAAAATAGTAAAATTATTATTACTAATATTAGTATTGAGATCCATTTTTTCATCCTCTCCCCTACTACTTTCGTTTATATGTGCCTTATAATATTTAATTCTGATATACCTAACAGAGAAAAATCCCGAAATACAAACATTGTGAAATTGGGATAATTGTTAAAATAATTATTATTACATAGAAAATCCAAACAATGACCATGTGGATAAATTTAATCTTCCGAGAGATTAAAGGCAGAATATATCTACTCCTTTAACAGACCTCATAACAGACCTTAATCAACATAATTTAAACTTCTTTACATAAATATCAACTCAATCCATTCACGCAGTATTTTACAAAAAAAGTGGTCTAAAAATTAATAATGTGAGAACCAAATAAATTTTTTTCGCTGTACGAACCATATATATGAGTTTCACTCTCACATATTGTAACTATTTAAAATATTATTTATATGTATATTATGTAATAATTTTTGTTAAACTTACTGTAAATCTGCGACACCATACAGCAAGCCATTTGATGTCTTTTATCCTCAAGCCGTCTTTTAACTTCAAAAGGATTTTTGCGTTTTCAAATCTTTCTAAAATCGGAGGTTCTCTATAAAAAAAAAATTGATTTACATATTATTCCTCTTAAAGATAATATATTGATGCATTGTTAAAGTTTTTTTTTTCATTTATTCTTAAAATATTTTTAAATTATATGTATTATGCGTACCGTACAATCTGTTTATTATATCTATATTTATTTATCTGAAAACGTGTTCAGAATTATGAGTGAGTGGTGAATTGTGCGGGAAGTTTAAAAGCAATGTAGGACGGTTAGACGAGCGCGGCAGTCCGTAACCAAGGGTTGAAACGAAACTCACAGGGATTGTTGTATGCGAGAAGGGTGGGTGGAAAATAGATGGGTGGATGACTCGTGCGGGGGTGTAGATAATAAAATGAGAATTACCGGTCGATCTCTATTGCAGTTCATCTATGCGAATACATTATACAACTCTTAATGAAGAATTTACTCTCTAACAAGAGAACTGGGGGTTGGTTGTAACAAATTTCAGAATTTTCAATAAATTATCAAAACTATCAAGTGTAAACTAACCATTTCAGGGAATCTTCATTTAATAGAATTACTTACAGTTATGCACTGCATCGATGAATGGACCCATGACGGAAAAAAGAGTTATTGTGAACTAATTTGAATTTAAGATGCTGATACTAATTTATAATAATAATTGAACTATAACATTATTTAATTTAATATAAACAAAACTTTATTAATATGTCTGTAACCACACTATATCAAAAAACTGTAACTTAGAATACATACTTGAAAACTAAATATGTTGACTCGATGGCGGTTAGATGGCAAGAGACAGAGAGAGTTTGAAAACTAAATTTTAATTCACACAGAAAAAACTTGGATTCATTTTTGTTGCAACTCATTTTCTTTTGAGTATCGAAATGAGTATGGGACAAACTTTATGTTATTCAAAATGATACTGGCTGGAATTTCAGATTTCTAAGTTGGCATCATAAGCAGAGTAATTTTGTATTTCAATTAATTTTTCTAATATTTCAACAACACCAGAAAGATTATTTTGACCAGTACGAATATTTAGAAGTTTTTAAATAAAAATTATTTATTATTATTTACGTAGATAATAATTAATTTCATAAGTTTTTAAATTTACCGCTATTGTTTAAGTTGGTAGTACCGTTCCTATTGTCAAAACACATGTTTTCATTTTTCTAACCTAAAAACATATTTCCTTTATTATTTTATTACGCGATTACAACCAATTTTTAATCAAATATATTAAGTCTAGCGTGTTATTTACTTCTTTGTAATTATTATATTTCATGTATTTGTGCAAAATTATTCTTTATTTCACAATATTTTTCCATTTTTCTTCTTCTCAAAATGAAACTTACCTGTTTCATTTTGATACTTTTACCTTAGAACTCGAAATGAGACAACCAGTTTCATTTTTGATGCGTATCAAATCGAGTATAAATTTTGTACTCAATTTGAGATCAGGTTTTTTCTGTGATACATAATATTAAAAATAAAATTTAGTTGCTGAATGTGTATTATATACACTGAGAAAGAAATGCTATTGAATCAATGAAATATTAGTTTGTCGCATCAAACGGCATATTCAATATCGTTCGAAGACATTCGCTACTAATTCAATAGCATATGCTATAAATTCTTACGCCATGCACTCTTGTTAACATAGCATATTTTGTGCGTTTGATTTGAAGAATATTTGAAGTGAAGGTGCCATGCTATTCAATTCAAAGTATACACAATAAATGATATTACAGATTTTATTGAATTAATTTTTATTTTACTTTAAGTCAATAGTATTATGCTAATAATAATTAATGTTTTTGAAAAAATTATTTACCAAACAATTCATGTTTCCTAATATTCATATCAAGAACATATCTTTAAATTTACTCTTTTCTATACATTTTCACACACCACACACACACTTCGAATTCTTAACTTAGAGTCGAACTTTATAACACTTGTCACATATTTCGAAAACCTAACACAGTACATTTTTGAAAATAAATTTGTACGGACGGGGGATCGAACCCGGGTTTGCCGGACGCAAGCGCGAGACCCTAACCACTATGAAACTCAACAATTTGTAAAAGGAAAAAAAATCTTCCTCATACGGCACAGGCAAAATTTTCTTGTGCTCAAGCGATCTTATTGGCTGACGCAAATGGCGAACTAATTTAGAAAGTTTTTCATTGAAATTTTTGAATTATAGTTTTCTAAATGAACATAATTCTTAAAAAATATTAAATTCTTAAATACTATTTACTAATTAAAAATTAATAAATTAACGAAAATTAATTTTTAAAAAATCTAATTTATATTAAAATAAATCGTAGGAATGTGATTTCTGGTTAAAGAATGCATTTTAGTACAAAAATTTCTAATTCCACATAATTGAATAAATGGTTCTATGATTCAACTACGCATACTGTCAATTTTATAGCATCTGCATTTGAACGTATGTGAATAAGTCGTTTATTATAACAACAGCATGTGCTATTGAATCGAAAACAATTTGTATTGTTTCAAAATATACTTTTATACAAATTAAAAACATTATTTTTTAAAACAACAACTTTTTTATTTTATTAATGAGTACATTTATTTGAAATTAAATAATGTTTCTTTGATAAAATAAATTCTACTTTCATCACAACTACTAAAAATGTTTCTATAGAAAACATTAGGCTTTTAGTTTAAAATCATGAATTCTTCTATTTTAATATATTTTAATTTGATTCAAAAAATATGTTATTGTTTCAAAAAAATTGATTTCAATAGCATCGGCACTATTGAATCAATAGTGCTTTTTTCTCAGTGTAATATGATAATTTACTAACCTGCTTTGATATTCTTCTGGATAGGGAACTAAATATCCTCCAAGTCCAACTTTAGATCCGTTACCAACAAAAAAATGTGTATCAGGACCAGTTCCATCGTAATAAAAATCTTTTATAAATATTGTTGTTTCATCCACTGCATAGACATCACCACGAATCCCATGAGCGTAACTGCTGAATTTCCCAATCTTTTTTCCATAGTACCCAGTTTGGGCATGTCCTGTAATAAAAACAATACATTTTTTTTAATACATAGCCATACGACTATTTCAAAATTAAAAAATTCACATGATTATTAAATCAATTATGATTGAAAATGATAAAAAAAAATTTCAACTTTTATTTAATAAATTTTCCAATGAAACCAATAGAAAAAGAATCGGACAAGTGCAAGTTACACTCGCATTAAAACCGAGGGTTCCGTACCCTTAAAGCTAAAATTTAAGGGGGTTAAAGTGTGAAGGCAGGTGGAAAGATTCCAATTTTGCTTAATTTTTCCTGTAATGTGAGCATAAAAACACATAGATAGACACATAGTCACATATAACAAAAATTATCAGTTTTTCCTTAAAAACGCTATGATTATCAACTCCAATCATGCTCACTATATTTTTCTTGTAATCTATACGTAAAAATACATAAAAATGTATAAGTTTGAAGCCCATTAGATAAAATTTTCTTCGTTTTTTGAAGAAAATTCATGATTTTTATCGAAAATTGTCAGTTTTTTCTTGAAAACTCTATGATAATATCAACTCTAATCGTTCTCGCTATATTTTTTTTGTAATCTACACGTAAAAATGTATAAATTTGAATCCCTTAAGATAAAATTTTCTTCTTTTTTTATTCGAAAAATCCATGATTTTTTCTAAAAATATGAGTTTTCCTTAAAAACAATATGATCATCAACTCCAATCGTGCTCGCTATATTTTTTCTGTAATCTATACGAAAAACTACGTATGTATACCAAATATGAACTGTCTTGGTCAAATAGTGTGTGCGCTAGGAGGATTAAACGCTTTTTTTCAAAATTTTTGATTTTTCCTTGACAACGCTATGTAAATCGATCCGAATCATGTTCGCTATATTTTTCCTGTAATTTTCACGTAAAAATACATAAATGTACCAAATTTGAGCTCTTTATGTGAAAAGATGTGGCCACCAGGGGGGAGGTACATAGTCATTTTAAGGAATTTTTCGTAAAAATTCATGGTTTTTCCTTGACAACGCTATGATAATTAATTCCTATAAGACTCGCTATATTTTTCCTGTAATCTACACGCCAAAATACAAATGTGTACCAAATTTCAGCCCTCTAGATAAATTCGTGTGGCCGCTAGGGGGGGGGGGGGTACATGCCTTGCTTCACTAGTCTCATTAATAGGGTTCCCCCTTCGGGTACTGAACCCTAAAAAGTGCTAAATGTAAAAAAAATATTAGAAAAAATCTTATAAAATATAATAAAGTAAAAGTCCTGTGTAGAAATATCCCTACCAGGGCCCTAGTAGTGAATAATAATCTGGTCCCGATCAGGGACTGTTCAGGGCCAGATTAGAGCCACGAGAAAATGTGGATTTCCTTATCAGGGACATATCAGGCGCAGCGTCATATTCCCGCCCGATCCGGCCCCGATCAAAGCCATAGCAAAATTTCTACACGGGGTATATCTGAATATTGTAATATATATTTTTAAATATGGAGAAGAAATAATTTTGCTTTTATTGATGAGATGCTGTAGACAGAATGAGTGACGGATTTTAAATTTGAATCACTAAGTGGACAACGTGTACATATGTAAAATTTATGCTACACAATGGGATGAACAAGTCTACATATATATACAAGCACAGTGAGAATAGGCTAGACGCATCATCGCCCCGATACAAAAGTGATGCTTCGTGATATATACATACAGCTTTTGATCGTGAGGATGTTGCTAACAGACAGGAGAATTGAAATACTGGGATGTTCGTTGATTTGCATGAATTTCATTTCATTTGCTTGACAGAGCTATAAAAGTCGAGAGTATGAACGAGAGAGATCGAGAAAAGAGGGCATGACACCAGGTAATAAAGATTAGAAGTTTTAGTGTTCAAGAGAGATCGTTTCCGGTTCGAAAATTCAAAAGCTCTCTCTCTATCTGACTAGCTTTCAGAATATGAATTTTCATTTTTTTCCAACCAATTTTAATACTTTTTTTTTTGTATAAAAGGCAGTTTTCACCGTGTGGATAAATTTAATCTTCCGAGAGGTTAAAGGCAGTAGATATATTCTGCGTATGCGCAAAAGCTGTATAAAAACATTTTGCGCAGACGCAGAATATATCTACTGACTTTAACCTCTCGGACCTTTCAAAAAAATGACATATCTTTCGTTCTAATTAAAATTTTTTAAATCTGTAAGTTTATAAACCTAACTGGGTAGTTAAGTATAAGAATAAAATGATCAAAATTTATAATATATATATATATATAAATAAAATTATTCCTCATTCAGCGTGACCGCGAGTTACTGGGACTATATCTTTTTGGCGATAAATAAAATAAAATTAATGCACGCGAATGCCAGTTAATTTAATAGTTAAAATTAGAAATTATACGGAAAGAAATGCTATCGAAATTTCAGCCATAAACTTATGGTTGAGATTTCTGGTTGAATTGGTTATACAGTCTGTCAAATTGGCAGGTAAGTTAGGTTATATTAGCCATGTGAAGGCTGATTCAGACATCTTGCTCTTTGGAAGTACTATTCGTTTGGTTGGATTAACCAAACTGTATGGGAGTAACAGTGCCATGTTAATTCAGTTATACGATATGACAGAAACAGAATTACCCTAGTAGAAATTTGTCCTAGCTATTTTAAAGGAACTGCCTAGTCGCGCTGGAGTCTGTCTAGTTACTTGACTGACCAGCTAGCTAAAAACTCGAATGTCATGTCACGCTTTTTTCATCAAGTTATTATCCAGCCCAACTTGATAATTATTTATCAATAGGACTTTTGAAAAACTAGTCAAATTAATTCTTTTAAATATTTCGAAATTCATTTAATAATAAGATTTAATGTAGTAAACACGTTTATTTTATGTAATTAAAAAAAATATTCCAATTATCAACAAAAATTATTATAAGAAAATATATTGCACTAAATATAGTAATTCGTTATAAAAATGTAATTTTTCATTCACAATTAAACTGGATTTAAAAAAAAAATTTACATAAGTAAAACGATTGAAGCAACATCTTGACCTGAACTGTTAACAACACTGAAACAATTATAATTTTTATATTAATATGAATGTCATAACATAAACCTTAAAACACTTCTCGCAGTTTCAACGAAAAAATCTTGGGGCTACCGGGGAGCGAACACGGGTCCGCTGGGCGGGAACGAAAGAAACGCACGCTTTACGCAACTCGGCCGTTCTGATCAGTGATATTAGAATAAATGCTTGACGTATTTCACTGTACCTAATAATATTATGAATTTGTGCATATTATTTTTATTATTTTCTAGGCAAATAAACATTTTAGATGTTTATTTGATTTTAAATGATTTACTTATAATTTAATTTAAACATTAGACAATTATAAAAAACTAATTACTAATTTTTTTTATTTATTATCCTCAAAAATTATATGTAAAATTTTATAAATAAAATTATTTTAATAAATTAATAATTATTGATATAATATAATATTATTATTATTATTATTATTATTATTATTATTATTATTATTATTATTATTATTATTATATTATTATAATATACTCAAACAGAAAAATAATATTCTACTATATTTGTAAAATTTGTCTGAAAATAATAATAATTGTTTAATCATTTTTTTTTAAAAACTAAAAACACTTTTTATTCAAGGTAATATTATTTTCATAATAATTTAATTTATTGCAATTATTTTATTATAATTTAATAAATTTTATTATTTTAAAAAAGCGCGCGCTATTTTGTCTTGGGCCAATCAAGTGATTTCAACTAAATATAGGTTATGTTCGTTTCTGATTCATGACAGCTGGCAAACATTTACAACAAATAATATTTTGCAAGTGTATATTTATTGCAATAAGATAAGTTATGCAAAAAATATATATGTGGAACAATAATTTACAGTGATTTTCATAAAATGAATATTGATTTAGATGCTCTGGAAAGCAAAGTTCATTTTTTCTTAAATTCAATTTTTTCGACCACCGAGATATTTCGATACATTTTCATGTGTTTTGTATGCACTGTCTTTTTTTGAGAAAGGAATATTAATATTATTATTATTAATTTTTATAAACAAGTTGTAATTTTTTTAAATCAAGCAAGCGAAATGTCAATACACAAAATCCTAGCATAGCTGTCCAGTTACTAGAGTTATTGAAGCGCCACCGCCATGACAAGGATATGAATTTAATTTCGAGCAGCACTGGACAGTGCCATTAAAAAAACTGGATAGCTTTGAGTCGTGGAATTATCAAGTTCAACTTGAATTTCTTTCAAAAAGCACTGATCAGTAACTTCACAGTTATTTATCAGTTCAGCTAGAATCAGCGTCCGCGAGAAAAACTGTCAAGTAACTTGAGTCAATCTAGTGCATCCACGACAAATTTCTACTAGGGTATGGCAGTAATTACGAAAAATTTCTTTCAGTGTAGAAATAGTTATTTATGATACAAGTGCGTAAAGTGAGTGATTATACGAGTGTGACGTTTGCAGCGTTTGATGCAAATCACACGAGTATAATCAGATTTACGCACGTGTATCATACAACATTTTTTGCAACACCCACCTCTAAAGTTAAGTACCTATTATGAAGAATTCCAACTCTCTATTAGAATAATTTCGATTGTATAGAATTAAAAAAATCAATCGAAGATCAAGAAAAATATCATTAAGCAGGAGTGTATAAATTTAATAGTAAAGTTCGTTTTTTAATTTTGTGGTTTTGTATGGTCTAAAACAATCCTTATATTATGTGAGAGAAATTTCGGTGCGTAAAGTGAATTTCAGTGTGTAATGTAAATTTTAGTGCGTAAAGTGAATCACTTTACACACCGTTTGAAAAAGAGTTTCTTTACACACAATTTTCGGTGTGTAAAATTTAACTTTAGAGGTTAGTGTTGCAAAAAATAATTTTTTTAATAATGCGCCAATATATCGAACTATTATTGAAACTGTGGTCTAACCCTTATTCTAGGATATTTGATCATTTTATTTT